TAGGTGTATGTGGCTGGCACCTTAACCACTTGAGCCACAGGCGCTGAGCCGAGTCCCAGGGTAGAATATTCTTGTGGGTGAAGCTTCCACTGACTTTAAGGAATTTCAAAACTAAAACAGAAGGTGGGACAGCCAATGCTTTTCTCCTGATGCTGTGTGTTGGGGGATACCCTTGTTGCCTATCTTTTTTTAAAAAAATTAATTTTTTTATAGGAGAGCGTGTCTCAGTCAGCCAGGCTGATGTAGCTCACCACAGCCTTGAATTTCTGGAGTCAAGTGCTCTTCCTGCCTCAGCCTCCTGAGTACCTCAGACTATAGGCACCTACCACCCCACCCAGCTGACATTTTAATTGTTTAAATACAGGGTCTTGCTGCATAGTATCAGGCTAATATTGTTGCCTTTTTCTGAAGAGCTTTTGTTTTCAAGTATAGAGTAGTGGTTATGAACACAGACCCGGGAGTCAGAATTGGTCAAGTTTCTTAATCCCTCTGTATATTTCCTCATCTACATTATAGGGTATGTGAGTGTTAGATATGTAATGATAGTTGTAGCCCTTAGGACAGTTTCTGACAAATACAAAATACTTTATGATACTCATGGTTATAGTTATGAAGGATAGTGATGGAGAGAAGTTGGAAATTGGCCAGCCTTCTCGAAACAGAAAACATCAAGATATCAAATGGTCATGGGATAATTTGATTTTTGTGGTACTTTTTCTTAGAAACCTTGACTTTTGGAATTTGTTTCCTTCCCATTATAGCCATACATTTGACATCTGATTCCATAATCTCTGTGATAAAGTCATTCGGAGATCTGCATTTGTCTTCCATCACGCAAAGACAGTGGAGTTTCAGTGTGTGTGTTCTTTGAATCCATTTTCCTGACATAAGATATTCCATGACTTGAGTACATAGTAGTTGATTGACATTTTGCTAATGCTACCAGGACCTTCGAGGATGGCTGCACAAGTTGTGTCCTGCATAACTCCAGGGGGTGACTATTCACTTACAGTATCACTGTCTAGGATTCTTTCTAAGATACTGTTATGCCAGATAACCTCACAAGAAAAAGTAGGTGTTCCTCTATTGCTTCTAGTAACACAGAGTAATATGACTGCCATGGAATGGGAAATTACTAAGTATTGAAAAACTGAACTGAAGTATAAAATCTTTTGATGTGTAGGTTAAGGAAGGGAAGAAGGCTTACTCCATGCCAAGTGGACTTTATATGTAAGATGTAGTAGGTTATGGGAGAGTTTCTTAGATTTGAGAGAGAAGTCCTGAAACTCCTATAAGAAAACAAACAAAAAACTTCCCTGAAATTATAATTATTAAAGGTAATGTCTAACTATTAAGGATAACTGAATTTCCACATTAAAAATTGATTGCCTTCACTCAAACCTATGTCATATATTACCTGCACATACCTTGGAAAGGAGAATGCATTTATTCTCCCTTAGACATTTACCCTGCAGAGTGAATAAGTGCATCACACAGGTTGACAAGAAGAGGATCTCATGAAGGAAGACAGAGAGGACCTAACTGCTCTGAGCAGCTTCCCTGGGCTCTGCATATGGGGAGGGGCCTGGCAGAGGGGGTTTCCTGGGGGATACTGAAGGCAAATACCATTCAAAATGTTGTGAGGAATGAACCAGATGTTTTTATTTAGACTTAACCAAAAGTTCTAGGACCTAGTAGATGTGTTTGCTTAAGATTTTGTATACCTAGCACGGTCTGGGAAGTTAAAAAATGTTCCTTTTCTTTCTTGAATAAACAGGGTTGATGTTGCCTTCTTCTTTCTTCAGGGCAGTGAAATCTGCCACCATGCCTGACCCACTGTAGGCACGCAAAATAGCTTTCGGGCAAAATATGTTTCATGTAGTCACCTTATTTTTGGCAGAAGATAATGTATATTTTGAAACAAATTTTAGGGAATTACCAGCTTCCTTTTTGGACAGATAGGCTTGCCAAATCTTGATAGAACTCTGCTGAATGCAGCGGCATTTTTTGTTACTTATTTTCTCATTTCAGAAAGTGGACGTCACCAGCAGAGCTGTGATGGAAATAATGACTAAAACCATTGAATACCTTCAACCCAATCCAGGTAAGGGGCCCTCTTATCTGTTCACAGTCTCCCTTCATGGAGCTTTTGGCTTCTCTTTAATAGCTATTTTAAGTTTGGTATGTGCTCTACGTTCTCTGCCTACCTTTTCCTAGAGGTTTCTTGACTTCTCATGTGGCACTTTGGCTGAAGAGAGGGGTTTTTGTAAAGCCCACCGTAAAGTAACAAGAAGATTCATGGTATTTTATCCATCTGTGGTGTATTTAGCCAACAGTGTGTGTGGAAGCTGGGGTGTCACAATGTCAGAGGGGCCACAGGGGGTTATCAGTTGACCTTTAATTTTCAAGTGATAGAAAATTGGGATGGTTTTTAGGCAAAAAACACAGTAATTCCCAGAAGGTGTGAGAAAATAGGGAGGTGAATAGTTTTTGTGAAATGCAGAGGGTTTCTTTTTATATAACGTAACTGAAGTCCTTGGAGGGTTATTCTTGATTCTGGTTCTTCTCCAAGCACATCACAGATCAGCATTTGTTCCTGCTAACTTGGTATCCTCTAAGAGAAAGGAGTAGCAATAGAGCTAATGGACCTATATCTTGATAGGAGAACCAGGTAGAATGGGGGTAATCCCTGCAGGCACCTGGTGGGGGAGAGCAGAGCAGAGCAGCCAGCCTCCTAGGCCTCCTCTTTGTCCTTCCTGTGTATCAGTTCCTAACTGCGAAGGGTTGAAACTTGAAGCAAGGCTCCATGTCTTTGAGTGAGATGTATAAATATCTGGAAAACTGCTTAGTCTTGAGACTAGTTTCTGTGGGAATTTCTGATTGGGGTGTCTTTTATGTTCATGGGAAAGATGATACAGGCAACTACTTCAGCCCCAGTGGGTTTGGATACAGAACATTAGTGGGGAAGACATAAGAGGAGGGTGTGGAGTGAGAGGGACCAGTGTGGCAGCTCTCCACTGCCCCTGCCTAGCTTGCTTTCCATCTCTGTTTACCTGTAACCAAAATAGCTGCTATTGTGAAGATGAACAAACTATGTCGTAGTAACATTCTGATTCTGTTTCCTCCTTCTTCTTTTTTTAATTAAATCACAGCTGTGTATACATTAATACAGTCATGGGTACAGTGTGCTGTTTTTATATACAATTTGAAATATTTTCATCAAACTGGTTAAGATAGTCTTCATGTCATTTTCTCAGTTATTGTGAAACACATTAGAAATGAGCTAATGTGAGGGAGGAAAATATTGAAGAAAATAAGGAATTTAACTGACCATGGACTAAGTAGGTTTTCAAATGGTTCGCAAGTTGGTTGAAGCAGCAAAATTCAGGTTTCTAATTTTTACTAAGAACCTTCTTGGTAACTTTTATATTCCACAAAGGCACAGAGATCTCTTGAATGCACATTTATTTCTCGGCATCTAAGCAACTTGTAATAGGTCAAGGTGATGCTGGTTCTGAATAAGTAAGATCTGGCTTGTGTCAGGACAGGACTGACTGAGGCCAGGTGAGGAGTTGACGTGGATGGTCAGTAGGGTCAGTGGAGGTTGTTATTTTGCAGGCTTTGGAAGCTTGTGGGTCTTCAGATCTTGTGGTTCTGGAGGTTAAATATCATTTATGTTTTTAAAACTCAGTTCCTAGTGAAATGAGGACCACAGTGATTTTAATTAATTTTCAAAAATCTGTGGCTCTGCTCTGGAAAGGTCTCACATCCACTGTGGCCCACCTCCAAAGTGACATTTGAAAAAGGCAAATGTGATCATATTATTATTTTTCATAAAACCCTTCACTGGCTTTTCATGCTTTTAGGATTACATTTCAAATGCTCCATGTGGGTTACAGGTTCCTCTGTGCATGGTCAGCTTGCCCTTTCCCCCGCGCCTTGCTGGGCCAGCATGAAGGTCACTTCCAAGCCTTCCTTGGCTCCTGAGTACATTAGCTTCCCCTGTCAGTGTCCCTGTTGTAGCCCCATGCTTTGAAATTGCATGTTTATGGCTTTGTTTTCCCTCCTCTATGAGGACAGGGATGTGCCCATCTTACTCATGGCTGCTTCCCCAGCCCCTGGCTCAGGTTCAGGCATCCAGCAGACCCTTGAATATTTAACTAAATGAATTACAAAGTACGGTTGACAGTGGCTAATGGAATAAAACTGCTCTAATACTAAGGATAGACGGAAAAATTCTTCCTTTGCCCTAAACCATCAGATCCCCCCATATAACCAGCCATTTAGCATCTGTGTTCAGTGTTATGCAAAGACAACTCTAGATGCTTTAGGGTAGGACAAAGACCACGTTTGGACCCTTGCCCTCTGGAACCTCATGGTCTAGCACAGGCGGCCTCAAACTACGGCCTGTCGGGTGTTTTTGCCGCCACTGCCTGTCCTGCTTAGCAGCCAACTTGTCCCGGTGCCTGTAGTCCAGCCCTCCAATGGTCTGAGGGACAGTGAACTGGCCCCCAGTTTAAAAAGTTTGAGGACTCCCGGTCTAACAGGATAACGTATACATACTCTGGGGAGAGTGACCAGAAGACTTTATAGCAAATTCCTTCTGGAAATTCCAGCTGACTAAGAAGATGGAGAAGGATGAATGGGGTTTGCAGGCCTAAAGTCTGCCCTGTGAAGCAGAGATTTTGAGGATATGGAACAGACAGCTGTAATGTCCTCCAGCTTGGGCTGTGAAATTATCACAAAAGGAACAGCCTTAACCAGTACAGATTTCTAAGCTTTAAGTAAGAAATAATTTGAATATGAAAAGTACTGAGCACGAGTTTCATTCTACTGGTTATAAGCCCCTATTCTTAGAGTGTTTAAGAGCAAAGATCATTGGAGAAGGAATAATTATAGGGAAGAAAAAGGTACTAAATCAGTGTTGTCCAGTAGAACTATGATGCAAGCTGCATGTAATTTGAATTTTCTAGGAACTATATTAAGAAAGTAACAAGAAAGGTGGAATTTTTAAAAGTTATCTTATTTAACCTCATATATCCAAAATATCCATCAGTATTGGTAATTACTGAAATATTACACATTTTTGGCTGGGAATGGTGGCTCACTGTGGCTACATTCCTCTAATCCTAGCACTCTGGGGAGCCAAAACCAGAGGATTGCTTGAGCTCATGAGTTCAAAACCAGCCTGACCGAGAGCAAGACCCCATCTCTACTAAGAATGGAAAAATTATCCAGGCATTGTGGCAGTAGCCTGTAATCTCATTTACTCAGGAGGCTGAGGCAGAAAGAAAAAGGAAGCCAGGAGTTTGAGGTTGCTGTGAGCTATGTCACCAGAGCACTCTAGTCTAGGTGACAGAGTGCAACTCTGTCTCAAAAAAAAAAAAAAAAAAAAAAAGAAAGAAAAAGAAATATTATGTACTTTCTCCTCACACTAAGTTTTTGAAATTTGGTGTGTATTTTATACTTACAGTACATCTTAATTGGGGTTAGCCACATTTCATTAGCTCCCCGAAGCCAGTGGCTCCCATTGTATCATAGCACTAGATAGTTTGCTCTTCACACTGTTCTTTGATGAAACTATCTTTGATATATGCTTGATGTTTAGCTCCTTGAGTTTTATCTGTGTTAGTTCTAGGGGGAGGTTTAGTAGAGAAAGGGGCTCTTGATTCAGGATCAAACTATCTTTAAGTTGGGGTTTTTTTTTTTTTTTTTAATCTTCTAAGAATCTGTTTCATGACAATATGGTGGAGATGTTTTTCCTCAAATGGAATAATGGACATGGCCAGATTAGACAGTGTATCCTTTCCAGCCTTGGCAGGCTTGTTAAGACAGAGCCTTTTCCTGTTCTCACTGAGAAGTTAATCTGACTCTGAAGTCATAATCCAATACAAATGTCCAAGCTGTTAGATAAAAAGTAGTTGGAACATGAAAAGTACTGTGAACAGTAGGGTTTGGTTCTCTGTGGAAATGCTTTTCCCTGAATGCCAACTCTAGTTCTTTCCAGCATGCCTGCGATTGGATTATTAAGTCGGGGTCATTAAATGTCTATTTAGAATTTTTTAATAACTTCATATCTTATTGGCTGTGGAAGTAAAAGTTAGCTGGATTAGTTTTGAAATGTCTCATTAGTCCCTGGAAAGATACTAGCATACTTCTTTCCCACAGACTGCCCTCTTAATCATCTCCTTCCAGAGATGAATCAATACAGTGATTATAAGACATTGTGTGGTGGTGGAACTGAAAGTTAATACGTGTGATACTTGGCATTCATATACACAGATCCTTCCACAACAGACTGAATGTGCTACCTTTCCTGGAGGGCAGGAGGAGGGTATTCCTCTCTGTCTCTGAGGCCTAAGCATTGTGCCTGGCCTGCTGTTTGCCATCAGTAAATCCTCTGAATAGGCACATGGATGAATATATCCATCCTTCACTTACAGAACTGGAATGTCTATCGACTCCTGCAGCCAGAACTTTCACTTTTCCAAATCCTGACACAGAAAAATAATCAGAATGCATAAGGAACAGATTACAGACGCAATTGTGAGGAAATGTGAAACTTCAAAGGAACAGGGTTTTTCGAGGATGAACATATTAAAGAGGTTGTGTAATCCATGTACAGTATGTAACGAAAAGGCTGGAGGGTTTTACTATTTTTACTAATCTTTGGGAAAATGTTGAAAATATTGTAATATATTGGAGACACCTTAAATAATCAGGAGTTCTAAGTTAGCTGAACTGATAGACTAATGATATTCATTCCCCGTGTGTCTAAAGATATTTTAAAGAGTGCTAAAGCCAGGCCTTATTGAAGATATTGTTAATCATAATAAATATCATGATTAAAATACGTGTGTGTGTGTGTGTGTAAATGGAAAATTGAGCTAACGGAATCTCCCTTGGATAGCCCTGAAGTGCTGATCCACTGCAGCGTATGATTCCTCAGCCTGACCTTTAGGGGAGCACCGGGTGGCCCTGGCACTCGCCACGTCTTCCAGTTCATTCTCCTTCTTGCTCACCATCCTGCAGTCTCTCACTGCTGTTGAGCTCCTCCAAGCTCATTCCTGCATGAGATTCTGCAGGGGCTGTTCCCTCCTCCTG